TTCAACTGTCATTAGAAAGATCCGCCTCCGTGTACAACTCAAAGATGTCGGTGTATTTCTATAGCAGGCAGTGTATGGTGTACACAGTTGTGCCATTGTGTCACCAGCGGTGGCCCGATGCATGTCGGTATGGCAAAAGGGCGGCGCAGGCGCGGCGCTGAAGGAGCTCAACAGTACTGCATGCAGAACCGTCGCTTGCGTCACCCACTCAGTGTGAACAAGTGGTTCACAGTTTATTCATCAACCCATATATTGAATGCTTTGACCGACTTAATGACTTATTAACACATTGTTGCTATTGTCTAGTAATTAAGGAGCATCGTCTCAGTTTATAAAGCCACCTGTTTATTATGCGTGATCACCATTTAAATGTTAATTAGATTTATTAAAGCACCTGATCAAACGCGTCTCGGTATAAATGATGACGTGAAAAAAACATTCCCTCGAATGTACTGTATTCGATGAAAATTTATTCGACATTTATGAGTCAAGTAATTGACATGAAAATACTTTATATTTTCAATTAAAACATACATTATCGTGTTGCCAATTGAAATGTACAGTGTTCAATATATTTCAGTTAGGCATTTCCATTTTGTCAACATTAGTAAAGGTGAAGTACGCAATTAGGACGAATCACATAAATTAACAATGATTGATGCACACTTAAAAGGCTACTCCATAAAATAAGTAAGTATCTACCTAAATTACGCTTTTATTTTGTATTTTTTTTTCTAATTATGTGCTTTCAGATGTGTAAGAGCCGATTCTGTTTGTCCAATTATTGGCTGTCGTTAATCAAAACGTTTAGAATGCTATAGCTAGGTATCGCATACAAATCGGCGGGTGAATATTGAGCAACCTTCACCGGAAACGCTACTGGGCAATCTAGCGGCCGATCTATCGATTAATTAGTTCGATCGGCAATACAATGCGGACTATGTTGTGCGATGGTCGGCACTTTTCGCTCACTCATCGCGGCAGCTGGTTTCAACGATGACAAATGACAGACGGACAAACGTGGCTAGTACAAACTACACGAGGCCGGTGACGTGACAAACACAGCGTATATACCACTCAAGTATCTTAATTACATAATTATGTATGAATGATCAGCTTCGTGATGTATTTATTATCTGCTTATTTTTCAAATTGCTCTCCGATAGATAAATATCAAGTTATCGTGCTCGACTGTGCAACGCTTTTAATAATACGTTCCGTCTGTGATTCATGGAAATGAATAAATTGCAAATGTTTGACAAGAACAAAATTAATATTTTATTAAATCATTATATACAAACATGCCGTTAATGAAAAGAGTAGGAAACTACAAATACCTTAATAGAAACAAACAAACAAACAAGATATTAAAAGTTGAATCAAATTAGAACGTGAATTTAAGATTGACCAAAAAGTACAGAAACAAACTCTTTTTCACAGTTTACACAAGTGAAAATGTAACAATATAAGTACATTTATTCAGAAATGAAGAAAACTTGATCATTTGATCTGCATTCAGTAATCTGTGTACTGAAACCACTAACTAATCTAAGAGTTTCCAAGAATTTACAATTACATTCGATTTTATTGAAAACTAACTTAAGATTACAAATGTATCGACTATAGATAATCCAGTGTAATCACCTGTAGATGATAGTCACCTAAAGCAATCTAATGTTTCCGTTTAATACAAAGTTTAATTAAATAAAATCGAATGTTTCCTACACTCCTGTTTGTAGGAAACAATAATTATAAATTACTTGGTTAGCGCTACTGATTTCTGATCATTACATCGATTGTACTTTCGTAGCAGGTGTGATATGCTCATAGTCGTAACTTACACATGTAAGTATTTGTATTTGACCAGATTTTACTAAACAAAAACACAAAACATGCATCCCTCCATGCGTGAAGGTAAAGGTTCGTACATACTTTCAGATACAAGACCATGTTATCCACAACATCATTCAAATCCGTCTATATTTTCCGAAATGGTTTGAAAAAATATATTGCATTTTTTTCTTTTTATATTATTCTTATTACAATACGCCTAGGCATTGAATCTCATTCTGTCTATAAGGATAAGGAGTAAAAGCACGACATCTGGAGCTATTTAAAAAAATATGGTCTTTATTCATGGCAGTCACCAATAACATTGTGTGACTAGCAAATATATTTGAGTATCTGCAAATTGCTACCACCTTGGCCTACCACACAAGGAAGGTCAGTGTTCTACGTCAGTAAGTAACAAAATATTTTCACTACCTTTGCATAATAATAGGAAGACACCTAGTTACTCTGCAATCAAACAGCATCGCTTTTCTCCGCCTCATTAAAACATAGATTGTTTGTGCCTATTAGATAAATGCGCTACGCCAAAGACTTGGCCAGATCAGATAAAAGCAATTAAAATACTAATTTACAGGGGCATCTTATCATATCTATAACTGTTATGTAAGGCGTTGTATTAACTGTATGTGGGTTGAACACCTTAAAAAAACAAGATCTTTTTGTTTATTGAACTGTTATAATAGCGAGATACTGAAGCCGTATGTTAAGGCTAGAATGTAATATTTAATACAATTGTCACCATCTCTGCTTATGCTGCGGGGATATTAAGGAGGCCGGTAGTCCAGCAGTTCACCATCACGGACTATTAATTTATATACATAAAGTTATGACATAAAGATAGACAGGGTTGTATAACCATAGAAGTAAGTAGAGCCACCCACTTTTTGGAATTTCCTATTAAAGTAATTGATGAGCGTATTCTAAAGGCTTAGTGAAAACCTTACAATAATATATTATTATTCCTGAACCTCAAATCATCTCGAATAGGGGACTTGTAAAATGCTTGTTGACGTCCATAGTTGTTTGAGAAATCATTGTAAAAATATGCAAAGTTTAATGAGAGATTATACCGCATTAAAACTGTAAGGTACCTTAAAATCGCACTAGTAAGTATCTTTATTAATTCCAATTTCTACATATCGTGGCTTAATTCAGTTTTCAATAGATAAAATTAGTTTAGGAGAATTTAAAAAGAAAATATTCTACATAATACGTAAATACGCAAAGTTTTTCGTAGCAGTTTAAAGTAGCCGTAGCGGTGCGGCGTAGCGACTGTAGTAATAGCTCTCTAAGGTCTAAGAGAACTAAGCATTTCATAGAGACTGTTCTCTGATAAACCCGAATCTTTGAATACTGCTATCTCAAAAGCAACTGCTAACTGTAAAGCCTAACAGCGGACTGTCACAGGATTTTATTGACGCATTTTTTTAAAATATTGTATTAATTATATTTATTTACTGACTGCCAGTAGCAGCGCGACAGTCGCCGCGTCGCGGGTCGCGAAATGCTGCTCATGAATATGAGCCTCTAGCATGGCTTGAAACTAGTCGAGTTCCCCGTCAAATTACTACGTGAGTATGCCGAAAACATAATAATTTATTTAGTATGTCTCACGAAAGTTACAATCCAATTAATTATATTTGTTCTATTGGGTTGGATTCTTGGAAGTTTTACATATATTTCAAAATTTCAACAGAAAAGGTTTCTATCAAATGTTTATTTTAGCTAATTGAAACAGTATGCACTATAAACATTAAGGCACCCTATGAATTTATTTATATACCTACCTATTTGAAAAGCATACTTCATATGAAATTTTAAACTACAAAAACGAATAGCCCTTTTCCGTCTTACTTGTAACAGACCTAATAAAAGAAAATGAAATCCTCAGAGGTATTGAATTTACAAACTCGATACTCTCGCCGGCGGCCGGTTGATTTTGTTAAAAACTATACTTTTTAATGAAAACCAAGCGTTCTATATTTATTTTTGTAAGAAAAAATCATTATACTAAAAGAAATAATAAAATAAATTGGTTAATTTATGTGATTTCATCAATTTGTCGCGTCTGTATTAATTTGGTGTTACAAATCAGCCGGCTGATGCGATTCTATGGTTCAACAACATTTGGACTTCTTTTTTATTATAATTTATAATATTTCTTATAAGAAATCAGATTAGTATTGAAATTTTTGATCATTTATGATGATGATATTGATTAGACTTTCATGCATAACAATATTATGATGTGTTGAATGTTCTCTGAATTCTTGTTCATGACTAATTAGTAGATAGGTATGATTCAATAGCAATTTGTTTTTCTAATAACAACTTTTTAGCAAATACACATTGAATGGTATTAATCATCATAACAAAGTTTAAAATTAAGTTTTCGATTTGGCGTTGCTTGGTTTCTTTGTTTTACACTAGAATTTTCATTTTATACGTTACAGGTAAATAACCTTAATGATTAAACAAATAAACAGTTACTTGAAGACGGCCTAAATGTGGTCTAAAAACACAGTGTTTTGGATAAGTATTTCGGGTAGGTACTCCAGAAAAAAAATTATACAGTTCTCATTTCTAGATTGACACATTTTTAGTATGTAAATATTTTTAAGGAGATTTTTCTAAAATGATAAGTCTATCATTTAAGTATTTATTTGTTTATTCGTTAAACTGTCAAACACCAAGCGGTCACCGGTGACCGCAACCTATTGTTCTATAATTGTGTCTACAAAACCGGTACTCGACGAGTTAAGGAAAAACAAACAGTAAAATTACAATAATAAACACAATTAGGCTTACACACTAGACTATAGCAAATATGTTACCCACTACGTTTTCCACATATTTCTTTTATTTCAATTAGAGTGACACAAGTAGGTAAGAAAAGGAGAAAATACAACACTATGTTGTAACGTTTGTGATGCTTGACATATTAGCTAACTCAACATTTCAAACTATACTTAAAGAAATAGGAAAGCTCGGGGCTGTGGAAAAACTGTCTAAAATTTATTCATGGCATAGCTGATATTTTTTTTGTAAAGTTTTGTTGTTATCAACTCCACACCCAATCTTATTCACAACATCTGATAAGCGTGACGTTTCTTATTGGAGGCAAAATAAATTTAATTATGAAAACTTACCGTTAGGTGATATGTTGAGCGACTGTGCGATGGCAGCAGGGGCTGGGGGTGCTGGCTCCATTTTCCAGGGGGCGCAGCACGAGATAGGGGAGAACTCGGGCGTGGGGCCACTGCCCGCCGATATCAACATGGTCGAGCCACCTTCAGGTCACGAGCTTCCTGCAACGCTAGCATGCGGCACCAACAAATACTTCACTTCCAAAAGTCCACGGTAGTCAACAGTTCGATAGGCTCTATGAACTCAGTGATAAGGTATGAGCACCTATAGGACGCGGCCCGGCTCGCACGCGCTCGCTTGAAGCTCAGCCAGAACACTGAAGAGCGCGCTTGTCGTGCCGGCGCGCCCACTCGCGCGCCTACTCCCATTTGCACGCCTCAGAAAAAAATCTCCGCCGCCAAACAATAATAAAAAACTACCTCCACCGAGCAAACCTCCGCGCACCTCTCACTCTAACGCTCTTAATTCGATTTCCGAACGCGTCAAAATTACAACAGCTCGATTGCAACGCAACCTTCCGTCCCGTTCTTAGATTTTAAAATTTAAACAAAATAATACTAAAACAATATGCTCCTTAACTATGCTGACATAATGGCTATATTAATTCATCACCAATAGTGCCCATACGACATTTTTGTCCGGATCACAAATGAAACTACTCCTACTCGCACTCGTTCGGTTCAGCTTAAGCATGAACCGTATGAAAGGGACAGGTGCTCTACCGCTCGGTAGAATTACGGTAGTAAGCACAGGTGATCTTTTACCATTTCTTCATATAGAAGGTGTTAATGTATATCGTTCTCGCTCTAACGTATATGTTGTATTGTGCGTTGGGTGAGACAACAGTCTAGTTTCGATTAGCTTCTTAATTAAACTTGGTTCTAGTTGAGTATGCTTAGCATCCGTTTTAATAGTTGAGTGTATCGAGTGAGTTCCATTCTAATTAAGTTAAAGAGTAGTCGAATATTCCAAACTTTGTTGTTCTAAGGAACTTATGTGTCAGGATTATTTATTAATGGACAGTGTGGGAGCATGCCGATGGTGAAATTATGTTATAGTAAACATTAAATATGGGACGTTATTACCTTGTGACGTACCTAGGTAAATAAGGGAGCATATGTGCTATACAATCTGTTTTGAATGTCTATTATTAATATTTTTAATTATGGTTAACAGAAGGCGATGTAAAATGGCAGTAAAACAATTTTGAACCTATCTGTGGTGTATTTTTTCTATAATTACAGGGAAAAGTGTATGGTTGTCTGAGCCGCAGAGCAACTGACGCTGCCCCGCTACGGCGCGCGGCGTATCCGTTCTTTACAATTTAATTGAAAGTTTTCTTTACTCAATAACTTGTATCAATCTCGTCCAAAGTTGTGGTTTCCTGTACACAGGATAAATACGTTTTGTACTGAGATTTTGAAAGGATCCTTTATTGCACATTTCCTTGATATAAACATGTATCAATTGCTTATAATTTTTACATTTCTATTTTTTATTATAACGTGGGATACGTATTATTTACTTGCTTTGATAATTATTTCAAACTAAGAATTGAAATATCAAAGAATCCATAAAAGTATTCATAAGATCAATACAAATAAAAACAAAGTTTTTATTAGTTCAATACAAGACACAATTAGGTACTATCTAGGTACATAATTACTATATCTAATATAAATATATTTTATAAGATATCCGATTCTGAAATCATTTAATTTATAATCGCTAACATTTTATAAAATTTAGACGATCTACAAAAAGTACTGAAATGAGTAATTAATATGCTGAACCATTAAATACTTAAGTGGGATTCAGGATTAATTTTTGCTTAGAATTAGAATTTTGGAATGTTGAAACTGACGAACATTTTATTTATTATTTATGTACACACATACAACACAAAAGACAACACATACCTATATAAAAACATAGTACATAGGTATAATAGCAATAGGTCCCACATATTCCAACTGGAAGTCCAAATCTTCCTGTGGGCTTGTGGCAGGAAAAATAAATAGGTAAGTACGATACACCGAGACACAGTGTGTTTCTCAAATAAGGTAAAATAAACTTTAAAAAAAGTAAATTATAACTTGTATGAAAAAAGAAACAACAATGGATATTAATAAAATATAACAATCCTCCAATTCATAATCTCCAAAAGGCCGGTAACACACTTGTAACGCCTCTAGTGTTCCAGGTGTGTTAGCGACGCCGATTGCTTACCATCAGGTGATCCGTCAGCTCGTTTCCCGGCTTATTCCATAATATAAAATGAATTTAACTTATTATTTGGCATTTAAGAAAGTACCTATAAAATAAATGTAGTGGTTATTTTTGCACATAAAAGATTCATCTGCTAGAATTTACTACACATATTCTTCAACACTATGTATTATACAGTGTGAATATATATTCATTATATTACCTATAACATACAGTGTATCTATCTAACTAAATTTTAAATTATACTGCTTCGTTGCCTGAGTGGTCGCAAGTGCGACTGCCGGGCAAGGGATCTTGGGTTCGATTCCAGATTCGGGAAAAATATTACTGCGGGTTTTTAAAAAAAATCTTGATATTCAGTAACCAAAATATAATTAAGCAATTTACTTAGCTATTGTAACTTTTAAAACAACGATGAATATTATATTTTAAAAAGAAAAATACGTCTAAATCATTATAACAATAAAATACAGAATCATTATCTATCTAATTTATTTTTAATAAAGGAATGTAAATCGATAAATTGGTTACAGAGCTCTGCTACGAGCTGCGTCGGCGCAGATTACCGAGCCTACGAGCTACGCCGCGCCGCGCGCCGGTCGCTTAATACGTAGCGTAGGTAAATAGTATTAAATGTTCTCGTTACGTAGTATAGGTATTATTATGATATGAAATAATACATGATTCATTGCTTAAGCCAAATCAAAGTCAAAATCAATGATTTCTATTAGACCAGGAAGACACTTTGAACGTCAAAGAAAATCAAAAGCGATTCTATTAATTGCTCTTAATTAATATAACCTGAGACAATATTTTTTTTTCCAAAAAACAAATGACACGAGCGGGACTCGAAGGCGCAAAAACCGTTTTCAGTCAAAACGATTTAGGTACCTAATTTTAAGCTCAAACAATATGGTTATAACTTACTTTGTTCATTGTTTGATTTTAATATTTTTTATATTTTATCAATCAACCATCATAAATTAAAAGACTAATATAGGTACTTACCAATATTATTAACTCGATTCAATGTGTTGCTCCGAAGAAAATTCCTTACTTAAACTAGCAAAAATCTTAATTTTGTTGATTTCACTTCACATGCAATTATAATTTAAATTGACACTAATTATCAAAAAATTTTGCAAAATAATATAACTAAGATGATGTACCTAATTAGCGCGCCACCTATATTGTCATAATTCTAAATTTAAAAATAAATTCTCATAATAATATTGATGGCCAGTTACAAAAAAAATAATAATGGCAAACAAATACTTAGACCGTACAGTCAAACCTCCTTGGTTTATGTTATTTTCTGATAGGTCGGCGTTAAAAATTATTTATCTGTGTTGTGGAGTCCATAGGCGGTCCATAGGCGGCGATCGTTCATCTTGTTCGTTCACGGGAGGCATGAAGGCACGAATCCATCATACATTATTTTTCAATAAACTGAAAAGGGGAACCAAAATGTTCTGGAATATTTTTTCGAAGTAAAATAGCCGTCCCTATTTAGAACATATTTTACTATAGGTACTCAAACAAACACTCATCAAATCATTTCCAGTATCTACCTATAGGTACCTACTTAAGCATACAAAATCAATTCTCGTATATCGGAGCGCGCTTAAAAACACACCTATAAAATGTAAGTGTATAATGATGACAAATTTTTCTTTTTACCTTGCGTACAGGCAGACAGGGGCCGACAAGGAGGATTTAGTGTGTCGATATGGTGTGGGTGTCACCTAATGAATAAATTTATTTATGTGTACCCGGCCACTTTTATCTGGCCGAAGGTGAATACCGAACTGTTGTTACATGCCAGTTACGATTACCCAGTTACTTAACCTGTTCTTTTATTGTATAGGGCGGTAATTGAGATACATCACCTAATGGTAAGCAATCGGTGCCGCCCGTGGTTATTAGCATCACCAGAAGACTTAATAGTGCGTTGTCTTTTATGGGTTCAAGATTTGAAGATTGGAGAATTAGAGACTATAGGGAAATTGGGTCTCCGGTAACCTCACTTACACGGCGAAACAAAACGCAAGCGTTGTTTCACGTCGCTTTTCTTTAAGGTCGTGGTATCACTCTGGTCGAGCCGCCGAAGCATGGCTCTAACACTTTTTATCCTGTATTTCTTCCGTGATTTTTTCCTAATTGGACTAACGTCCATAAATATGAAACTAATCAAAATATGTGGACAGTAATGTGTTGTTCGGTGATTTTTTATCGTCGTAACTGTGTAGACACTTTAGTTAAGACGCGTATAATTATGTGGAGGTTTCGAGTAAGTAATTAGGTGGAGTTGAACTTTACTTTTGAATTTTTAAATGTATGTAGTACAATTACTTGGTATGTTATCACATTAGCAATTAGTCAGGTTGATGAACTCAGTTCGATAGTCAGTTTTTCTAACACAAAATTACTGTAGGTAATAATTAGGTTGGTCATATTCAAGGAGCACTTTTATATTCGTCATAAAATATTAAGTATATTGTTAGTTAGGTCATTCTCTCTCCTTTGATCATTTTCATTACTTTGATAGGCAAGTTGAAAGGAAGAAATGGCAAACAGGTTCAGATTTTATCTTTTACTTTTCTATACTTAAATCAAGTTTCATTTACCTAAAGCACTTAAATTGAATAATACTTCTGAACAAGGCAATAGGTATAATAACAAAGAGGTATAAACGACATTTTGTTAGCAACATATGCAGCTCCTGGCTACACATTTAAAAAACTACGAACAAACCCTCCCTGATTCATCTTCCCTTTCTTTATGCATTCGCATTAGCACCCGTCCTTACAATAGGACAGTCTACAATGGACTAACGAATCATCACCCATAGCACATACAGAATCAGGATTCTACACATCGCGTGCGCAGCTTACAACCAACATACGCTGACCCTTACCTGCATCACACATCTCTTAAAATGCTACTGAAATCTATAACCCTTTGCAGGTCTATGAAAAATGGTTGGGTTACTTAACAGGGCTTGTCATTCGTCGTGGTTTGCGATGACAAAGCCGCGGCGTATTACAAGCAGACGTATTAACATTATAATGTGTTCAA